GCGCACCTCAAGCATCTTCGGCAAAATGACCTTACGTCCGCCGCCATCCCAGCCCAATAATATCTGGTCCTCACTTTCGCCAGTGTACGCTCCACCCCAAAGTGTCCACTGGTCACACCTGCGTGTAGCTCCTCCAGGACAACCTCCCTGTATTCTCGTGGCAAGATCACCTTCCACTCAATATCTCGCCCATCATGCGACTCCCAACGTCGGCACAGCACTGAGTCCCTTATTTCCAACCGTTCCCATTGCCCCCAGTATATCTTGCCCACTATGCCTCGTGCTTGAGCATAGCTCCAGTCCGGACGTTCTTCTGATCCTGTCTTGCAGTTAACAATCCCGCAAAGTGTGGGGTCCCGGAGCTGGGCCTCGGCGATATCCTTCAATGTTATGGTTGGTTCCATTTGCAACAACCTGGTCACTATTTTCTCCTCTCGTACTACACTGTCTTCACCTGACAGAATGTCAGTTACTTCAGCTTTGGCTCCAACCTCTGTCTTAACATCATCCGCCAGGCCACACTGACTACAAGGCTTGCGCGACAAACCGTCCGCATTGCCATGTTTCTTGCCTGGGCGGTGAATGATCTCGTCGTTGTACTCTCCAATCACTTGTAGCCAGCGGGCTACCTGTCCTTCCGGGTCTTTGAAGTTGACCAGCCAGCGTAATGCGGCATGATCAGTACGGATGGTAATCTTTCTCCCATACAAGTACTGTTTAAAGTGCTTGAGGTAGAAGACGACTGCCAAAAGCTCTCGGCGAGTCACACAGTAGTTTCTTTCAGGACGGGAAAGAGTCCTACTCGCATAAGCGATTACCCGTTCTTCTCCTTCTTGTATCTGTGACAGGACTGCTCCGATGCTTTCCCCGCTGGCGTCCGTGTCCAGTACAAAGTCACCTGTTGGGTCCGGGTATGCCAAGATGGGCGCCTCCTGTAAGTGATTCTTCAGAGTCACGAATGCCACCTCACAGCTATCATCCCAAAGGAATTCCCTTGACTTCTCTGTGAGCCGGTGGAGTGGGCGAGCCACATCTGCAAATCCCTTAATAAATCTGCGATAGTAGGAGGCCAGTCCTAAGAAACTTCGCACTCCTTTCACATCTGTCGGGGTAGGCCATGATTTAATAGCCTCGATTTTGTCCGGGTCAGTTGAAACTCCGGCTGGTGAAACCACATGTCCCAGATATTTCACGGTCTCCTTGAAGAGAAAGCACTTTTTCGGCTTTAACTTCAATCCAGCCAATCTAAATCTCTGCAGCACCTCGCGTAGGCGCTGTATCTTCTCCATGACGCTTCTCCCGTACACGATAACATCATCGAGGTATACGAGTAAAGTCTCCCATTGTAGTCCGGATACGACCCTTTCCATCAGCCTTTCGAAGGTGGCAGGGGCATTGCACAAGCCGAAGGGCATGACCCTCCAGCTGTACAAGCCCCCGCGCACCACGAAGGCTGACTTTTGCTTCGCATCCTCATCGAGCTCGATTTGCCAGTAGCCAGATGCGAGGTCTAAGGTGGAGAACCACCTCGCACCTGACAGTGCATCCAGGGTGTCGTCGATGCGTGGAACTGGGTACGCATCCTTGATAGTTGTCTCGTTAAGTCCGCGATAGTCTACACAGAAGCGTTGGCTTCCATCTTTCTTCCTTACTAGCACCACATTTGAGGCCCAGGGGCTGTCTGATGGCGTAATCAGTCCCCTCTTCAACAAGTCCTGCACCTGTCGGTCAATCTCCTGTTGCTTGCACAATGGCTGCCGGCGGGGCCTCTGCCTGACTGGTCGTGTTTCTCCCGTGTCGATATGGTGCTTCACCCAATCATTTCTCCCAATGTCATGATCGCCCTCCGAAAATACATCCGCAAAATCAGTGAGCAGCCGAGCCACTGCGTAGTGATAACAGGGATCCAGATTCTCCACACTGCGTTTCCAGAGATCCTCAAGGTGGCCGGGGACATGAACATCCCTGTTTTCATCTCCAGGTTCAACTGCATGTGCCTGCAGCACATCTCTCTCTACCACCGGTGTGAGGCGTCCGGCTGTCGTGCCCGACCGAACCATGCACTCTCGGCTGCCCGGATTAAGCAACCGCAAGGCAAGTACTCCCTCCTTAGGATCTACCAACGTTCTTGCAAGAATCAAGCCTTTCTGCGCCAACTCACCACCTCCTTCAATCGGTTCTATAATCCCCAGGTCACCTGATTCGAAATCACGGGTCACTCTTCCTTGAACAAGAGCTTCGTGTCCGGGCGGAATGACAGTCGTTTCTGCCACAACCACCCTAGCATGCAAGGTAGTTCCCCATCTAGTTGTGCACCGTATGTGTTCTCCGTGAAGCAAAAGTTCACACTTGTTGAAATCCAGTGTCCCTCCAGTTGGGAGCAGAAAGTCCATCCCAAGTATGCCTTTGGTTTTGACTTTGGCAATGACTGCCCGTACTGGGCACGCTGTCCTTCCAATACGCAAGTCCATGTTTGCCACACCTACTGTTTCCATGACACTACCATCTGCCTGCACGACTCGGATGCCATCCTGCTCCAACGGTGGGCGTCTCTCTGTCGGTATCTGATAGTAAACCTCCTCCGAGATTATTGTGTCCGTCGTCCCGGTATCCACCAGGAACGGGATAGTGACTGACCGAAACTCTCCTTGTACGTAAAGTCCCTGCTTTGGAACAACCAATGGTGCAAATATTTCTCTTTTGTCGTCAGGGTTGAGATGAGTTTTGTCCTGTTGAATTTCTGAGCCCATTGTCGGTTGACCCTTCTGTTCGCCCAGCCTCCTCTTGGGTCGCAGAGTCGGCTGGCGGCCGTTTCCCGAGCGCCTCTGTGCAGGGGTAGTTGGGTTTGTGCAATCCTTTGCAAAATGTCCCTTTCCTTGGCACCCGTAACACCTGTCATCCGGGTTGGCTATCCTACGCGGTCTTGGGTGGTATACGCGTGTGTCTCTTCTCTTTTCCGGCTGAGGTGACTTTTCCTCAGTTGCCTGCTCGTCTCTCATATTCTTGTAGTATTGCTTCAGATGGTCGACTACATCAGCTATGATGGTGTCCCGGTACTCCTCCTCATCTCGCCCCATGCGGCATTTCTTGTCCTTTTTTCCACATCGTTGTTCCTCAATCCGTTCAAAATTCTCCGTCGCCAGCGCCGCACGAACGGCGTCATTCAGAGAAGACGGCCTTGACCGGAAAACTCCCTCCCGAATGCTCTGGCTGGCGATTGCGTCGGAAAAATGTCCACGAGCCAATCTATCCCTACTGTCTTCCGTTAACTCCGGATATGATAGGGTAGCCAACTCGCGGACTGCTTCTCCAAGTTCCTGTAAAGTCTCCTTTGGGCCTTGGTGACGGTTTCTCAGTTCCATAAGGAAGTTCTCAGCCATCTGCCCCGGCCCAAAACGTGTATTGAGTAGTCCAATTAGTTCAGTATACTTGTATAGCCGGGCTTGTCCTTCCCCTTGGCGATTAGTCAAAATTTTCACAGCGGATCCTTGCAAACTTGCGGCCAGGAACGCTGCAGCTTCTTCATCATTCCAGCCATTTACTCGCCTACAAGACTCGAAGTGTTCCCTGTAATCTATCCAGGGCTGTTTTCCGCTGAATCGATCCGGAACAATATTAGGTCGTTTGGCTTTTCCTCCAAATCGGTCCTGCCACTGTTGTGACGATTGAATCCTCTCCTCTCTCTTCAATGGCCACGGGGTGCTAGGAGAGGTTGGCCTGCCCTCCTTCGCATCACCGTGTTTGTCGTTTGTGGGGGTGGCGCCTCCACTCTCTGGAGTGCCCTCCACCGGAGGCGTTATAGCTCCTCCACGATCAGTAGTCGGATGTGTCTGTGCCGTCGACTGTGGTTGTGGCAAGTATGTTTTATTCCTCATCATCGTTCTCATCGGTGTACGTAGATGTGTTCCGCCCTGTCTCCGTACCGGTTCGCTGCATCTGTTTTACGCGCCCAAACATGGAACCATAACCAGAGGTCTCCATGTCACGCGTTAAGTCATACTTAAATTCGATTTCCTTGTCATCCCTCTCGGGCTTTTTGTGTATCCACCCACGTTGGTGGTGTTCCTCTTCCGGAGACCCCGGGGATTGAGACAGAAATTGCCCCAACCGGGTCTCGGCACGTTCCTTTTCTCTCATCGAGTTTGCCAACTGATCCTCTTTCAGTTGGACTTCCATACGCAGTAGGTCAATTTCCTCCTGCAATATCGGCACAGGACGCTCGCCTGTGAGGGTACCTGTGTTTTCTCTCTGTTTACTGCTCATCTCGTCCGAGCACTTGGCCTTGGCCATTCAGTGTCCTGAGAATTATCCCTCCAAGTCCTCCGCAAAAATCGGAGTGTCCAACTTTGTCTAATCACTCGCAACGCTTGATCAACTCCAAATTTGATTATGCAATCAAGATTAGTTATCAGTCTGTTTACACGTACGCTCGTAAAGAGGTCAGTGCACACACCAAAAAAAACCGTTCCAAGCGTCCAGTAATAAGCTGAGCATACAATTCCCACCGCTGCCACCATTTGTGGCGGATTTAACTATTGCCAGGTCGGTTGTCCTCGGCGAACACTCGCGGGTAAGGCGAGTAACCCTAACAGCGCCGAGGTGCAGGTCCGTTCGGTTGGAAATATACCACCACGTATACTCAGTCTACTCACTGATCGCTGACTTCCAGACAGACAATACAGACTGACAAACATGAAAAAAATAACTGTGACGCAATGACAAAAGAAGAAGGTTTCACTGATTTATTTAATTAGATCAATTATTATGATTAGAGTGATTTACTTCAATACGCCCTTAATAGCGCCTCAATGGAGTGTTATGGCGCCTCTAGTGGGTGTTATAGCGCCTCTAGTTTGCACTTATCCACCACGCAAGTGCCGCATTTATGAACTGCTAAATGTCGCGCACAGTTGTTCCCTCGGCAACGCCTCTCGCCTCCTCGGGCCTCAAAGGGGTAGGCTCCTCGTGAGCCTGGTTTATATGGAGCGTGTAACTCCTCGATGAGTCCTTACGCCTCCACCGGCACCTACAGCAGCCCTGCGCCTCAGTGCTCGGACCGACGCCTCAGTAGATGTACGCTCGCTAGCGTACGTCGTCCCTCGAGGCGTCCGGCCAACAGTCGCGCCTATGGCTCCGCTATATGCCCCACGCTAAAGGTAGGTAGGCACATATACTTACTGCAGTACGCCCTTTCGCCTCCTTGGATTGACGCTCCGGTAACTTGGTTGGTCCTTCCCGCACGAGTAGCGTTCACCAACTGACTTGCCCGCTGGCGGCGACAAACTAATTGCGCGTCTAACGCTTTCTATGGCGCGCCAAGTCAAAACAAATTATGTCAATTGCTCAAATGTTACAGTATCATGACATGTGTATTGTGTAACGGTAGTCACACCTTGTTTGGGTGTACAGAGTTTAAGAGTAAGAAACCAGAAGATAGATTTGAATTTGCTAGGGCAACAAAACTGTGCTATAACTGTTTGAGACCTGGGCATATGTCAAATTCATGTACCGAGTTTGCTCTGTTGCAGGGTGTGGGAAAAAGCATACTAAGTTCTTGCACCAGATTAAAACCATACCTGTAGGTCAGTATACCCCAAGAACTGAGGTCACGACGGCACCAGCAGAACCAGCGGCATCAGTGCAAAGTGGTTTCACCGACACAGAGGTTGACACGAGCTGTTATGTCACAGGGGTCGGTGCGATGAGAGTTGCGTTGCCCATTGTTCCGGTCAAGGTCAAGGCCAAGGGTAGTGGTGTATGCATCGACACTTATGCACTCTTGGACAGTGGGTCCACGAGCACTTTCTGCACAGAAGAGTTGGTAAAGCGACTGAAAATCTGCGGTCAACAGCAGCAATTGTCTCTCACAACATTGGCAGGGGCAAACGTGCAAACAGCGACAACTGTCATCAGTCTGACAGTTAGCGGTATCGACTGTGAACAACCAGTTGAACTTCCGTTGGTGTATACAAGACGTGAGCTCCCTATCCATGATGCTAACTTAGCCAAGCAAGAGGACATTGAAAGATGGCCTCACCTGCAAGGTATCAAGCTGCCACAAGTTGACAAAGGTCGAGTACAGCTGTTGATTGGGCAAGATGTTCCAGAAGCGCTGACACCATTAGAAGTCAAGAAGGGTGAGAGGAATGCCCCATATGCGACAAGAACACAGCTCGGATGGTCGCTGAATGGAGCACTGGGAATGGCGAACAAGCACACAGCCACATCCAACTTCATTGCAGCCCACGACAGTTTAGAGAGACAACTAAAGATGTTCTGGAAGTTGGACACGACTGATTCCATTCACGATGACACCAAGGGGATGTCGGTGAAGGACAAGCAGGCTATTGCGATATGGGAAGAAACTGTTCGTCTCACAGATGGGCACTACGAGTTGGCGATCTCATTTAAGAATTATCCTCCGCGCTTGGTTGATAATCGCACTGTTGCGGAACGACGTCTTTTATCGTTGGGCAAGCGGTTGCAAAGAGACACACTGCTGCACACTAAGTACACAGAAGGCATGAAGGATCTCATCAACAACGGTTATGCAGAAAGTGTTCCAGAAGAGGAAGTTCATTCCTCGAACAGCACCGTGTGGTATCTCCCACATCACCCGGTGTACCATCCAAAGAAGCCTGATAAGGTTTGCATAGTATTCGACTGTGCGTCTAAGCATTGCGGAACATCACTCAACGACGAGGTGCTTAGTGGACCAGATTTGACCAACATGCTGTTGGGGGTACTCGTGAGGTTTCGGCAAGAGACAGTGGCACTTATGGCTGATGTCCAAGCCATGTTCCATCAGGTCAAAGTCACTCAGAAAGAGCGAGATGTCTTGAGATATCTGTGGTGGTCTGATGGCGACAGCTCTCGACAACCGAGTGTGTATAGGATGACTGTACACCCCTTCGGTGGTACATGGAGTCCAAGCTGTTGCATCTTCGCTCTGCAACGTACCGCTGAGGATAATCGAGCAGACTTCCAACCCAACACAGTCGACACAGTCATGCGTAATTTTTACGTGGACGACTGTTTGAAATTTGTCGCCAGTGAAGAGAAAGGAATTCAGCTGGCACAGGAACTCCGTAGCCTTCTAGCTAGAGGAGGTTTTAGGTTGACAAAGTGGGTAAGCAGCAGCCCACAAGTTCTTGCGAAGGATGTTAAGGAGCTCGATCTGAACTACGAGGCATTACCGACCGAGAGAGCTATCGGAATGAAGTGGGATGTTGAACTGGACTGTTTTGGCTATAAAATCAGTCCCAGCGACAAGACATTGATAAGAAGAGGAATACTTAGTGTCTGCAGTTTTATCTATGATCCACATGGGTTTGTGAGTCCGTTCACTCTGAGGGCCAAGGTTATCATACAGGATCTATGCCGCAGAAAGCTAGGCTGGGTTGAGTCACTTCCATCAGAGCACCGCATCAGTTGGCAACAGTGGAAACAAGAACTACCCGAGATAGAACAGTTCAGGGTGAATAGGAGTATCAGGCCTTATGGTTTTGGAAAGGTAGTCAAATACCAACTGCACCATTTCTCGGATGCATCAGAAGTAGCTTACGGAGCGACAACCTACTTGCGACAAGCAGTCTTGCCTTCTCTTGGCCAAGTCACATCTAGGCCCCCTGAAAAAGATGACGATACCAAGGTTGGAATTGATGGGTGCGACACTCTCCGTCAAACTTGATGCCATGGTTCGTAGAGAGTTAGATGTGTCATTAGAGGATTCAGTATTTTGGACAGACAGCACCATAGTACTACAGTATGTGAAGAATGAGGAGCGACGGTTTCTCACATTCGTGGCAAATAGAGTTGCAGTTATCCATAGCGGGTCATCACCAAGTCAATGGCATCATATTGAGTCTACGCTTAATCCAGCCGATGATGTTACAGGAGGACAAACAGCCGAGGAAATGCTTGCTAACAAGCGATGGCTCAATGGACCCGACTTCCTTTGCCTGGAAGATAGCGAATGGCCAAAATCGCCAAGCCTGAGAGATCTATCAGATGAAGATCCAGAGATAAAGCCAGACAAGGAGGTGGTTACTGTATGTGCTGTAAACAAGATGGAACAGGTCGATGTGGTAGACAGGTTGTTGAAGAGACATTCCTCATGGCATAGATTGAGGAAAAACTACTTGCGAGCCAAGGCAAAGAAGCAACCAACAGTAGACATGCAGATGCTACTGACCGTAGATGAGATGACGAGAGCAGAGGATGCTATCATATTGTATATCCAGGGACAGTCCTTTTGTGACGAGTTGAAGTTCCTCCAGAAGGACAGGGTAGGTTCCAGAAGGTCACAGGACTACATCAAGAAGACAAGTCCTTTATACAAGCTTGACCCAGTGTTGTCCGCTGATGGTATAATAAGGATTGGTGGTCGTCTGAAGAACGCTCCAGTAGACGAGGGAGTGAAACGTCCGGCCGTGTTGCCTAAAAATCACCATGTAGTTACTCTGATTGTCAGACATTTCCATCGAGAATCGGGACACTCTTGAAGAGAGCACGTACTTTCCCTATTGCGTCAAAGATATTGGTTGATCAAGGCCAGGTCTACAGGCCGCAGTATTTTGCGTGATTGTTTTGGGTGTAGACGTCAATCAGCCACACCAGTCGCGCAAAAGATGGCAGATCTGCCATATTTCAGGGTCACGCCAAACAAGCCGGCATTCAGTTTTGTTGGAGTGGATTGTTTTGGTCCGTTCATTGTTAAACAGGTTTGAAGCTTGGTCAAACGCTATGGGTGTATATTTACCTGTCTAGTAGTTCGAGCCGTTCATATTGAAGTCCTACATACCATGGAAGCAGATTCTTTCATCAACGCGTTACAACGGTTCATGTGTCGACGTGGAGAGCCAGAGGAGATCAGGTCCTATAACGGGTCCAACTTTGTGGGCGGCGAGAGAGAGCTTAGAGAAGCTACACAGTCCCTAGATCAGCAGAAGGTCAATGAGTTCCTCCTTCAGAAAGGGGTGAAGTGGAAGTTTAATCCCCCTACGGCATCGCATATGGGCGGAGTCTGGGAAAGGCAGATTAGGACCACGCGAAGGCTGATGAATTCTCTCATGAAAGAGCAAACCATGTACGACGAGAGTTTGTCTACACTTATGTGTCTGGTTGAGTCTATCATCAATGGAAGGCCGATGTTTTTGGAGAAGATGGATTCGGTAGTACCTTCCAATGCTGCAAGAAAGACAGAAATGGTTTGAGCCAAAGAGGAATATCCAGATGGGAGACTTGGTGCTTGTCGTTGATAGTGACTTGCCAAGGAGTAAATGGCTTTTAGGGCGAGTTGTTGAAGCACATCAGGGAGGGGACCAGCTAGTCAGATCAGCCAAGGTGAATACAATGTCATCTACCTTGATGAGACCAGTCCAGAAACTTTGTCTTCTGGAAACAGTAGAAAGATCTGAAACATAAATTGGTTGTTGGCCTCTACAAGTGTTTTTGTTTGTTTTATATCGTGTTTTCCAGTACATGTAGTTCCAAAGGTTAGAGTATGTAGTACAAATAGCTGATGATTCATATGATTAGATCCACAAGCTTTTCTTTTGTGTGTGTATAACTTGTATTATGATGTATAATTGAAAACCCTAAACCACCAGTGAAAGTCAACTTAAAGGGGCACTCACATTCTTCCCTATTTTGTATGATTTAGGTAAATGCCATTTTTGGGTTGGTTGTGACATTTAAGGGGTCGGGATGTTGGGTCAAAATGTTTCGTTTGTGTAATATGCTAATTAGGTTAACTTTTTTGTGTAATTGTATTCTTCGTCAAGAGAGGGCGCTATTGCACACCACCGTAAAACAAGTCAGTTGGGTCAACACGTTTAGATAACGTCAAACTTTTCACGTCAACGTCACCTTTCGTCAGACAATTTGTTGTTTTGGACAGCCCAAAGTCGTAAGTATAATAATTTCTAAATCCTTTTATATGATTGTTAGACATACATAGAGCATGGTCATCTAGATATTTGTGGGATAATAGTAATATTTCTGGGTTAATTTATTGGGGAAAATTTGTGTAAAAGTGTCATGTAAAATGTGTGCATGTAGACTTTAATATACAACATTACACGGGATTCGCACATGTGCTACAGCTAATTTACCACTAACTGGACATTTGTAATATTGTTTTTGTGTATCAATCCTGATATGTATTTGTTATCTTTGTTTTGTTTATGTAGATTAAACCGTGTTACGTGTTACGTGCTTCATGCTTCATGTTTCGTGTCTACGTGAGATACGTGATTAAAGATGCGAGTTACTGTTGCTGATACATGATTGTGTACTAACCATTCGTCATTACAAAGTCAAGTTCACTGGAACTGTTAAGTGCCATCCTTTTCATACTCCACTACCAGTTCAGACATCTGCAGTCGTGAATTCATTTGAGCCTACAACACCTAAAGAAATCGAAACACTCATCCGTAAAAGTCCCGTCAAATCATGTGAACTTGATCCTGTTCCTACTTAACTACTGAAAGACTGCGCACCAGCTTTCTCATCAATCATCGCAAAGATTGTCAACTTGAGTCTCAAGGATGGGAATATTCCAGCAGCATTAAAGATCGCCCATGTTCGTCCATTGCTGAAGAGGCCAGAACTTGATCCAGGGTCGCTTTAGAACTCCCGCCCCGTGTCAAACTTACCGTACTTGTCTAAGGTCCTACAGCGGGTTGTTTTCTCTAGACTGACTGATTATTTACAATATATCAATTTGTATGATAATCGTCAATCTGCATACCATGCCAATCATAGCGTCGAGACCCTGTTAGTTAATTTATCTAACCACAATTTGTCAGAAATGGATGTCGGCAGACTTACAGCAGTCGTTCTACTGGACTTATCCGCAGCGTTCGACACGGTCAACCACGACATACTTGCAAACATTATGTAATCTTCTGGTATTTGTCATCGTGCACTTGATTGGTTCAAGTCATACTTGGGAGATCGTCATCAGCTGGTATGTATCGGTAACGCCAGATCCGATATTGTTGAACTGAAACATGGAGTTCCCCAGGGATCTGTCGGTGGGTCATTGTTGTTTACCATCTATCTCAGTGGTCTGAAACATGTCTTGGAATCTCATAATATCAGTTACCACTGCTATGCTGATGACGTTCAACTCTTTGTGTCATTTGCACCAAATCAAGATGACGCCTTGCTAACTCTCCAGAAACTTGAATCATCAATGATGTGCATCAATGATGTCAGTGCATGGATGAGTTCCAATTTTCATCACTGGTAAATCTGAACTTATATGTTTGGGTCAAGTCACAACTTGCCAAGATCAATGTCCATGGTATCAACATCTACAATTCACCTGTTAATTTGTCGGCGACCAGTCAAAATCTGGGAGTCACCTTTGACTCACTTATGTCAATGTCTCATCATGTTTCGAACACATGTTAATCTGTCACATTTCAACTTGGTAACTTGGGTTCATTCGGAAGTATCTAACCCACTCAGCAACAGAGAAACTTGTTCACGCCCTCATTTCGTCTCGGTTGGACTTTTGTAATTCCCTGTTGTATCAGCTACCCCGTAAGGGAGCTTCTCTTAAAGATCAAAATGCGTTTTGACCGGATCCAACGCAGTTTGACTGATCGTAAGTTACCAGCAAAACATCGAGCTCTTCTGCCTACATTACATCTCAATGCAGCTGCCTAACAAACGGCTCCATTGTTATTGAAATACGTTCATAACGCGTTGACCGCGGTCGTGTGTGCGGTGAACGCAGTCGGCTCAACAGAGGCATAACTGCCGACTGCGGCCACCGCGTTTACATTCCTTTGATGTCTGGAGACGTCTGCATTTTGACTTTATAATACATGTTCATGTACATTATCCGCCGTACTATTGTTGAATGATGATACTATTATTATAGAGAGCAACATATTTTTCCTTCGCAATGCATTTGTTGTCATAGAGGAAGGACTCGATCTTTATCGGGTTAAACGTTTGAGATTTTGAAATCACAGTTAAGCCTTCACCGTTTAAATACTGTATATTTTGTGAATCATCATCAAATTGTTGTTGAACTAATCCTTGTAATATTTTCAATGTAACCTATGATTTAAGTGTCCTCTCTAGGGAACGTTATCTAATGTTATAATAATTTTCTGTCATGTTTATCAGAGACGATTCATATCGGTGTGGTTGAGTGGGAATGGCGCCCTACCAAAATTTTATGCCGCCCGTTAAAATGTTGCCTTCCTGCACAATTATGGCTCCGGAATATCCTATCACAAAACATTTTCAGCCGACAGCAAGAAAAAATGTGCCTGCATGATTACTATGAAAACATGAATTTGATGAATTTGACGCATTTCGTCTGCTGGGCTGAGCCATCCCTTCCAGTTTGTGGACGACAATTCACGACCGGATGATTTTTGAATTACGGACTCTTGCAGAACTTCAACGCCGGTGTAAAATAACGGGCAGATTTGGCCTCAGAAATTATGTCAACCAACTTGCTCGCCTACAAAGACTACGAAATTCTGCCGCTCGAATTGTGACCCTGACACCCTCTAGAACCCATATCACCCCAATTTTGCAGTCTCTGCATTGGCTCCCTGTTGCTGACCGGATTAAGTACAAACTGTTACTGCTTGTTTTTCATTGCCTACATGATTCAGCTCCTGAATACAACATAGACCTATTAACTCAATACAATCCATCCAGGCGATTGAGATCTTCTGATGCTTCTTTGCTGGTTGTCCCTCACACTCACAAATCTTGGGGTGATCGATCATTTTCTTACGCAGGTCCTCATCTTTGGAACAAACTACCCCTCGCCATTCGCAATATCTCATCGCTTTCTGAATTTAAAGTTGCCCTGAAGACCTATTTGTTTCAGACCACTCAGAATATTCTTGTTTAGTTAAATTTAATTGTTTTGTTATTTCTGATTTGACATAATTTTTGTTTGCGCCATGAGCGTCATTTATGGCGGATACTGGCGCGGTATAAATTTCCGTTATTATTATTATTGTTATTATTATTATAGTATGATGGTAGTCAATGCGCCTTTACACCTCCGATCGAGAAAGCATTATGGTAGTCATGTACACAAGTGAATCACAACTAAATCAGCGTTAATATGAACTGCCAAACAAATTCTAATCCGTCAATGTTCAGGTCTATATTGTACTATTATAGCCGAATCAGCGGCGCTTGAACAGTTTTGAGACCAACCAAATTAATCTTGACTTCACAATACTAGCATATCAATCACAGGAATACATATTTTTTTGAAAAGTGTCAGTTGTAAAATCCCGAACAACAGTCGAGCATCGTCTGTTTTTCACCTAACAAAAAATCATAAAGGGGGAAAGAATATCCGGTCCTGTGGGACACTCATTTCTAGGATACTCTGTCTTCGAATAGATTGTACGGGAACGGAAAATCCGATCATACTTCAACAGCTTGGTCAAAAGTGAAGGAAGGATGCAAAATCGCTATCTTTTCTGTGCCGGGGTTACATTGCCCCCAG